GGCTTGAGTTTTTTGGTCCTAGAACTCCCCTCTGGGGCTCCAGCCGATGCCGCCGGCCACCCTGAAGGGTGGCACAGGTTCTTGTTCCTGCTCCAAGTGGCTCCCCGATGGCCTCCAAGGTTGCCTCCAAGACGGCCACTGTGGCCTCCAAAGTCGCCCCAACTGGCCCAAGACAGCCTCCGAGACCGCCCAAGAGGCCTCCCAGAGGTCCTCCAGGAGGGCCCGACGGGCCAACGTGCTTCCCGAGACGGCCCCGAGGCGCCCCGCGAGGGCTCCACGTCGGCCCAGAGAGAGGCGTCCAACACGAACGCCCCAAGGCGGCCAACGACGAGGCCCCCGAGAAGCCCCACAGAAAGGCCCTCATGATGGCCCAAGCGGACCCGAAGAGGCCTCCAACAGGCTCCCGAGAGACTCCAAGGAGGCCCCAGGGGTGTCCCGAGAGGCTCCGAAAAGGCGTCCTCCTCCTCCTCCTTTTCCCTTTTCCGTTAGGCTAACGTGAGGAACTAGCCTGTCACTGTTGGTTTCCTGAAGGCGAGCCAAATCTGCCGACCCTGTCGGCGTGTGACAAACACTGTTCCGTCTCCATCGCCGTCGCTGCCGCCGTCGCGTCGCCGCCGACACCCACGCCCCCTCCTTCCCTTGAGTACGTCGCCGCTCCCCCCTTTTTGGGGGCCCTCGTCCTCAGCGCGCCAGCCGAAGCGAAATACACCTGCCCATCCACAGCGAAATCAAGCAACGTTGTCATCGAATCGAAGGGAAGCCCCTTCCCTTTTCGGGAGCGGCCAAGAGGGGAGTGTCCAAGAGGGGAGGGTACAAATCATGACCGGCGGCACGTGCGCGGCCCAAGGGGGGGCCGGGGACGTAATGAAATAAGAAGAGGCGCCACGAAATCAGGGGAAATATCATGGCCCCCGCCATGAGATCCACCCCCCCCTAGTCATCACCCCCCTCTTTTCCGCCCCCGACCTTTGATCCCTTCCCCGCGGCGGGGGGGGGGCCCGGGACAGAGTGCCACCCTCCCGAAGCGAAGTACACCAGCCTATCCACAGCGAAATGAAGCAACGTCGTCATCGAATCGAAGGGAAGCCCCTTCCCTTTGACGATCCCTTCCCCGCGGAAAGGGGAGGGGGTGGCCCGGGACAGAGTGCCACCCGCCCGCCTCCTCCCTCCCACTTCCGTCGCGGGCCGGGGCCTCCAGGGGTCGGCGGCACCGGCCGCCGGGCCTGGGCAGTGACGCCGGCGCGGCTCACGGTGCCCGGCGAGCGCCACCGAACATGGAGGAACAAGAGCCCAGGAAAAAGAAAAGAAAAGAAAAGAGAGTAGGAACCCGCCAGGCATGAGGCCGACACTCACCTTAGTGGATAATCTCCTCCTCCACCCAGCAGTCAGTCTCTACATCGAAGAGTACCACACTATCAATGGTGAGTGACTGCTCGGCAAGGCAAGGAGCAAAACAGAAACAATGAAAATCTAGGGCTGCTGCCAAGAGTTCAAGGTTGACCCTCGACCGTAGGTGCATCCTTACCAACAAGACCCCGCCCCCCGCTATAGTCAACATCGCCCCCCGCCCCGATCCACGTCGTGTATCATGCCTGCGGTACGCAAGAGTAAAGCGGTTATTAATTCCCGAGGGTCGCAAATCGGTGGCGGGCTCTGGGTGCAGGCCCTAGAATAGGTTGTACCGCTTGTGCTGGAAGGGTCTGAGGATTGACGCAATGTAAAAAAAAAACATGGCGTTCCTCAAGATGTAGACTGGCGCAGCGCTGGCTGCCCTGTACAGCATGCTGACTGTTTGCTGCGCTGCGCGCCAGGTCTGACAGAGTGGGCTGCTGTGGTTAGCAGTCGTGTTCAGGCTCTTCCCTCGTGGGCCAGTTGCTCACGTGTCCCTCCTCCTCCTCCTCTTCCTCCTCCACCTCCTCCTCCTCCTCTCTTGTTCCATCCCTCTCCTCCGCTTCTTCTTCCTCCTCCGCGTGTTCCCTGAAGGGTGTCCACAACGGCTGCGGGAACACATGGGCCAATAGCTTGGCAGAGCTCTGGCCACGACTTTCGGCCACATGGGCGTTTCCGAAAGGCCGGGAGCGGCGGCGATCCGCCATAGGCGTCTTCGATCCGCCGCCCCCTTGTGGTCTTGCCACAGGGGTGCATGGCACGCCCACTGTCTGGCAGGTGTTTGATCCTTCCCAGCACAACAAAAAACGGCCCCATGGGGTCTCGGCCCAGCCCGCCGGCCACCTGGAGAGCTGCGCAAAATCCATCCCCCGCTGGCAACATCGCCTCCAACACAGCTAAGATGGCCCCAGATGACTTCCAAGATACCTCCACCATGGCCCCAGATGGCTTCCAAGATACCTCCAAGACAGACAAGATGGTCCCAAGGGAGCCCAAGATGGCCTCCAACACGGTCCCAAGATCCCTCTAAGACCACTAAGATGGTGCAAGAGAGCCCAAGACGGCTCAAGGAACATACCAGAGGCCCCGTAAGACGGCTAAGCGATCTCCAAGAGGTCCTCCAGGAAGGCCCGAGGAGGCAGAAATTACTGGCTGTCCTCAGGCTTCTGACGGACTTTGGCCTTTGCTTCAAAACGGCCTTCCGACGGCTCAATGGGCCCCAAGCGTGCCCCAAGATCGCCCAAGAGGCCTCCAAGATGGCCCCAGGACTGCCCAGGAGGCCTCCAAAACGGCCCCCAAAGGGCCCGAAGACGGCCCAAGAGGCCTCCAAGATGCCCAAGATGGCCGTCAAGAGGATCCTGAAGTGCCCCGAGAAGGCCCCGAAGAGGCCCCGAAGAGGCCCCAGGACGTTCCCAAGAGGCCCCAATTGTAACGGAAGAAACTCCCAAGAGGTCTCCCCATCCTGTTTTCATCCTCCGTGTCCCTCACTCTCCTTATCCTCCTCTTCCTCGCCCACGTGTTCCCCGAATGGCTTCCACAACGGCTGGGGGAACGCATGGTCCAATAGCGTGGCAAACGTTACGCAAACGTTTGGCCACATAGGCGTACACCAAAGAGGCTGGCGCCAAGCCTGGAACCATGCGCTCCCCCCGCCACTCCTGCAACAAAAAACAGCAACACATTGCGGCAAAATCTTGACCGTGCGCGAACGCTCCGAGAGCACTCTGCAGTGGCCGTCGGGACGGGACGGCGGGGGTACCCTGATGTGCAGGCCGACCACCCCAGCCAGAACACCATGCAAACAACACGTGTCGGCGAAATCTGGACCGTCCTCCTCCTCCTCCTCCCCCACCTCCTCCTCCCTCCTCCTCCTCCCTCCCCCTCCTCCTCCTCCTCCTCCTCCTCCTCCTCCTCCCCCTCCTCCTCCTCCCCCTCCTCCTCCTCCTCCCCCTCCTCCTCCTCCTCCTCCTCGCGCGACGGCGCCCCGTGCTCACCCTGCACAGGGGCGTTGACCAGGGCAGTAGCGGTGGTGCCCCCCTAAACACGCCGGCTCTGCGCAGGCCCGCCTCCTCTGCCAGCACAACGCACACAAAAACAACAACAATTAACACCACCAACACCATCAGCAATAGTAACAGCAACAGCAACAGCAACAGTAACAGCAACAACGACAACACAAACAACACCAACAACAGCAACAGCAACAACAACAACAACACCAACACCACCACCAACAACAACAACACCAACAACAACACCAACAACACCAACAACAACAACAACAACACCAACACCAACACCAACACCAACACCAACAACAACAACAACAACAACAACAACAACAACAACAATAACAGCACCAGTAACAAAAACAACAACACGAACAACAGCAGCAACAATCACAACGACGACAACAACAACAACGACAACAACAGCACCAACACCAACACCAACACCAACAACAACAACAACATCACAACCAACACCACCAACACCACCACCACCACCAACAACAACAACAACATCAACAACCGCAACAACACCAACGGCACCCGCAACAATACCAACAGCAACAACAACAGCAGCAATAACAACAGCAACACTACCAACAACAACAACAGCAACAACAACAACCACAACAACAACAACAACAACGGCAGCAGCCACAGCAACAACAAAACAGCACACCATGCAGAGTACAGCGTGTGGCACAAGCGTGTTCAAGTGCGAAGCGGCGCACACGGCCCCTGACCATGACTGAATACAAGCATGCATGCTGCAATCACGCGCAGGCGCCATGCAGCCATTTTGCATTCGTTCGGGGCCTCAGGCTCGGATGCTGCCTCTGTATTGGGTCAGCGGGTGGGAGTGAGCGACACGCCATGCGGCTTGGAGTGTTGCCCCCTCCCCCTACCTCCTCCCCCTGGGTCTGGACGGGGGGGGCAGCGAGGTGTCAGCGTATTGATGTTCCGTTGGTTTGGGACCCATGCTGGCCTCCTGGGGGGACGACGCTGATTGAGGACACCCTCTGCTTGGATCGGTGTCCTCCAAGATGGCCCCAAGAAGATCTCCAAGGCTCCCAAGAGGGCCCCAAGAGGCCCAGGCCCCTGGGAGGCCCCACGAGGCGCCGAAGAGGCCCCAAGACGCCCCAAGAGGGCCCCAAGACACCCGATATGAGAGGCAACCAAGAGCCCCCAGGAGACATTCCAAGCGACTCGGAGAGGCATCAAAGAGGCCTCTGGTTCACTGAGACTCCCCGAGGTTGCCACTCTGAAGCAGGGACCGACCGTCCCGGCATTCCTATAGGCCTACTACGAAATGTTCTTCGAACCCAGGAATGTTCTAAGATGAGAAGCAATGTAGTACATAAGCCCGATGTGCTAAAACAAAACAATATCGGCCAGAAATGTTCTTATACCATTTCGTGCAGACCACAAAAGGTTCTTAGAACATTCTTTGGTGGGCATACCGGCGAGCCAGGACGCTTCCCCACTGCTTGAAACTCCTCGCCGAGAAGGGCAACTCCCCTAGGCATCGTGATCTGATGGGCCTGTGGGGCCACGCGGAGCGTTAATCATTGATGTGTATGCCACCTTCAATCTCCCTGGATCCTGTCGTGCATCTTCCGCTCCTCCTGCCTGGCTTCCGAGGCCATCATCTCAACGTCCAGGACGCCAGCGTTGCCGTCCCATCGCAGGGCGATGACCGAGTCCACGAAGTGGTCGAAACTGATCGAGTTGTCCACCTTCTCAGAACTTAGGGTGCTGGTGTCCCGCATAAAGAGATGCACGGGAGCATGGTCCATGATTCCCCTCGGAGAATACTCTGGCTTCTTCTTCTTCTTAAACAGCGCCTCCTCAAGCTTTTCCAATTGCATGGCCAATTCATCCTCTCTGAGACCGGGGAACAGGGCAAGAAACAGCCCGCGAAAGCCCTTGTCGTTCTTCTGTTCTTGCCACTCCTCCTCGGATATTCTCTTGTCATTCGAATCGTCCATCTCCTCGAAAGCCTGGAGCAGGGTCTCGCGCACTAGTCTGTCCCTGGCTCGGGTCTCCTCCCTCAAGGTGTTGACCTCTATTACCTGACACAGCACTCCGACGAGCATATTCAGCAGCGTAACCGAAGCAATGATCACGAATACGACGAACATCCAGAAGAGGAACAAGCTGGAGTCCTGACGCCCAGCGCACCAATGGGTTCCAACAAAACCAAATAATGAACCCAACGGTTTTCGCCCGGAATGCTCCGTCACACTCGGTCGTACTTTAAATGTCTCATGTGGTTGTGGGGTGGGGGTGGGGGGGATAGAGAAACAAGAAAAACTGACAATATGAGCACACTTTGTCTCAGGACCACTTCTTTTCGTGGTGACCCTTGGTCCGATCAAAAGACGACCTCAGGACCCCTCCCGAAGATCATCCTGGCCAGACTGCGTCCAATCATGGCGACGAGAACCTCCAGAAACGCCCACATAAACCTCCGAAACGAAATCGTCGGCTGTGGTCCTTGATGGCCGTCACCGTCTGCGCCAAGTTGTCCTGCATGACGCCGTTCGTGAAGAACGTCATCATCGCAGAAAACAAAGTGCAGAACATCTCTTCGGCAGTAGGGTCCTCGCCCGCCTCGACAATGGCGGACAAGAAGGGAACCGCATACTGAACATCCTCTTCCTCTACCTCCTCCCCCTCGCTCCTCCACGGTTTTCTAGGCCCCGCTCTCCTCCAGTTCGCTCTCCCTCCACCCCTCATCCTTATAAACGAACTCCTCTTCGTCGCGTAACCAGGCACGACGGTAGTGCGGGCCGAACGAATTACCACCACACCACCTGCGATCCTCAAGCTTGAGATGTCCAACCACAACTACACGGATGGAGGGCGAATCGTCAAAACAAAACGCCCCGTTCGCCTGACTTTAGGGTGAGCTGTTTCTTCGGAAATGTGGCCATCGCCCCTCTCGCCTTCTGTTTAGGGGGTAGTGCTTGCAATGTTGGGCGGAATCGTCAGAACAGAACACCCCTCTCGCCTTCTGTGCGGGGCAAGTGTCTGTTCTGTTGGGCGGAGTGTGTTGCTTGTTGGGGCTCTCGCCCTGGTACCGCGCACATTCGTCTGACAACCACCCATCATTTGGGCGCCCGAGTTATCTGGGGTAACTCGGGTCCGGGGTAACTCGGGTTTGGATTCCCGGAAAAGGAACCCGAATTAGCCCTGACCCGATATACCCCTGATGATTCGGGGCTCTGGACGCCCGAATTATCCGGGGTAACTCGGGTCTGGGGTAACTCGGGTTTGGACTCCCGGAAAAGGAACCCGAGTTAGCCCTGACCCGATATACCCCTGATGATGTGGGGCTCTGGACGCCCGAGTTATCCGGGGTAACTCGGGTCCGAGGCAACTCGGGTCCGGAATCCCGAAAAACGAACCCGAATTAGCCCTGACCCGAGTTACCCCTGAAGATTCGGGGCTCTGGACGCCCGAATTATCCGGGGTAACTCGGGTCCGGAATCCCGAACAGCGAACCCGAGTTAGCCCTGACCCGAGTTACCCCTGATGATTCGGGGCTCTGAATCATTTACAGGGGTGGAGCGCGGGAGGCGCTGACGCGGCGTGCGTTCACCTCCGCGCCGTGCGCATCCGCCGTGCAGGCCCCCAGCAGGTTAGCGGTGGTGAAAGGTTGTCCACCGCACGGGCTTCTGACCTGGGCGACGCGCACCTTCGGCACAGCACCCCCCCAGCATGGGAAACAGTGTGGAATCCGCCAGAAAAGGAACTCGTGTTCGAGATGTCCTGGCTTGTTCGACTGGTTCCCAAACAGCAGCGCAACCTCGTGCAACCATCACACTGACGGGGGTGCGGCTCATTGAACACGGGGTTCTCGCTTGGACATTCCTCCAACTGTGTGGCAAGAAGGGTGGTGAGGGAGGCTACTCTTCAAACAAGGGCCCTCCCTGGGCACTGCCTTGAGCTTGACGGCGATACTTCTTCGAACCCATTGTTGCTCGAGAAGGTGCAAAGCTAATTCATGGTCAGATGGGGGTGTTGTTGACAAGGCATGTGAATTTGATGTTCGTCTTTCAAACGATGTATTTTCCGCAACGCAAGAATAATGCCTGTAGGGACTTGAGAAAACGGGGGTCAACATCGAATCCGCAAGTCTGATCGGGTCGGAACGTCCGTCAGATCGAGCTGCATCAGGAAGACGTCGAAACCGAATCGAGTCGGCCGCACCAAGATGAACTGCACCCTCGTGCAAGGAAACCGGGCGCTTCGGATCGTCGACATATCGGGATCGAATCGGATCTGGCCTGCCGAAATCGACATCGACCCTGATCGATCGGATCGACATCGGGCTTGCTGGTCCTCCTTATGTTCCTCCTCGTTCTCCCCCTCCCCCTCTGGACCTCGTTCTCGCCCACGTCCTCCTTCCCCCTGCTCCTATCATGAGAGTTCGGACGTGCCTGCCACCTCGAGTAAAGGCTCCAGAGTGCGAGGGCCCCAAGGCCACCCCAAAGGTTCCCAAGACGGCTTCAAGACATCACTGAAACGACCAAGAGGGCAACACGACGCCCCATAGAGGCCCCAAAGACGGCCTCCGAATGAGTCCGACGGGCCAGTCGCCGCCCTACAACAGCCCAGAAGGGCCCCAAAAGGATCCCCAAGCGGCCCCAGGAGGCCCAAACGAGGACCCCAAAAGGCCCCCATGGTGACCCCCAGAGGGCTCTTTTCGCTTGTCCATCGGTTGCGCTGGTCGCCCCGGGCTGGTCGGCCGCCCCTCGGTCGCTCGGCCCCTGGGCTGGGCTGTCCCCCTACTGTATTTGGTTGTTTTGGTTGGTTTTCGCTTGTCCATCAGTCGCACTGATCGCCCCGAGCTCGTCGGCCGCCCCTCGGTCGCTCGGCCCCGTCGGATGACCCGTTCCGTGGCTGGCTTTGATTGTTGTGGCTTGGTTTCGTTTGTCCATCAGTTGCGCTGCTCGCCCCAGACTCGTCGGCCGCCCCTCGGTCGCTCGGCCCCATCGGACGGCCCGTTCCCAGGCTGGTTTTGATTGTTTTGGCTCGTTTTCGCTTGCGGGGCGGCCGACGAGGCGGGGGCGACCGGTGCAACCGATGGACGAGCGAAAACCAGCCACAACAAGCAAACACAAGGAAAACAAGCAACACCAGCCTGGGAACGGGCCATCCGATGGCGCCGAGCGACCGATGGGGCGGCCGACGAGCCTGGGGCGACCATCGCAACCGATGGACTAACGAAAGCTAGCCAAGACAACTAGCACCAGTTTGGGAACGGGCCATCCGATGGGGCCGAGCGACCGAGGGGCGGCCGACGAGCTTGGGGCGACCAGTGCAACTGATGCACAAGCGAAAACAACAAAAACAACTTAAAACAGCCTGGGAACGGACCATCCGATGGGGCCGAGCGACCGAGGGGCGGCCCACGAGCCAGGAGCGACCAGTGCTCCCGATAGACAAGCGAAAAGAAGCCAACAAAAATCAACGCCAGCCGGGGAACGGGAGGGGCGGCCGACGTGCCTGGGGGACCAGAGCAACCGATGGACAAGCGAAAACAATCCAAAACAACCAACACCAGCCGGGGAACGGGCCATCCGATGGGGCCGAGCGACCGAGGGGCAGCCGACGAGCCTGGGGCGACCAGCGCAACCGATGGACACGCGAAAACAAAGCAAAACAACCAAAACCAACCATGGGCCAGCCGAGGGGCCAGCCGAGGGGCCAAGCGACCGAGGGGCGGCCGACGAGCCTGTGTCAATCGACCTAAACGCGAAACCAAACCCAAACAACCAAAACCTGCCACGCAGACAAAAAAACAACCGACGGACGAACGAAAACCACCAGAAACAACCAACGTCACCCAAGGAAGTAACAACCAAACCCAAAAAGTCGATTAGGTTTGCGCCCGCCCCCCAAACAAATCCCCAAATAACAATTCTTGAAGTAGGGAGGCGCGTGAAGCAGATTGGGATCTGGGAATCCAGAAATAGCTACTTTCAACGGCGGACGTGTGCATTCTAATCCATTCTAAAACATTCTGGACACCTCGGACGTTTCGACGGAGATTCTCGCGCGGGCGGAATGGCCCAGAGATCAGAGGTTCCCACCAGAAGGGAATGTGCCGGAGACTCCGCTGGAGACTTCGCCAGGGTGATCTGCTTTGAAAATCTCTGGGGGACCCAACACTTCGGCCGGAGATCCAGGGTGAGATGTTCGCAAGATGTTTGGCCAGAATCGTTGCGGACAGTAAGTGGCGACACTTCCGATCGAACCTTAGGCCGGGCATGTCCTCCTACAGGCGGATCTTGAGCAAAAAATGAATGAGAGTCAAGACCTGTCTTATGAATGATCAACAACAAATCATCAATTCGTCCCCTGACTATTTCCTGAATACTTTTGAAGATTCCGGCACGCCCGACTTAAAAATCGAACCCCAGGACGGCAGGGAGGGTGGCCCTGGGCGGGGGGGCCAACGGACGCGCTCGGCCTGGCCAGCCTGGCTCCCGCTCCTGCCCGAGGACGAACCTTGGACGAGGAAGCAGTCGGGCGAGGATGAAGCAGGGAAACGAGCTCTATTTTGGACGCCCGAAATGGGTAGGGAAAGAATGGGTACAATGCCCAACAAAAAATGTTGTCCCAAACCAACAGCGGTCGGCCGCTGTTGGGCAGGCGGCTTTCTGTCTCGAATGGACACAGGCCGCGGCGGCGCGGACAGCGAGTCCTGTTCAAAATGAACAGGAACTGCTGTTTGGCATTGTAACCATTCTTTCTGTACCCATTTCGTTCGTGCAGATCTATACACCGACGCTTTTCCCGACTCTGCGCTGAAATTCGCACAGGAGCGCGGATTCTGGTGTACACGGGATCCTGGTGTGTAAATTTGTCGTCGCTTCTCGGGGAGACCGGGGAAAGAGTATACACCACGCCACCCCGACGTCGTCCCGGACCCTCGAAAAGTCCTGGAATTGAAAGACAGCCCGCCACTGGTAATGTAAATGCTCCAGTTTCCGATCTGAGGTCTGGCGGCTCTGGAGGATCTCTCGGGCGCCGCGGCCTTGTCAAGGCGTTCGGGAACGCTCTGGGAGCGTCCCGGAACGCTCTGTAACGGATTTACCCGCGTCCTGGCCCTGTCTGCCAAGCTCCTCCTCCTCTTCGACCTCCTCCTCCTCCTCCTCCTCCTCCTCGTCCTCCTCCTACTCGCTCTGGGAGCGTTCTGCAACGCTCTGGAACGGATTCATCCTTGTCCTGGCCCCGTCCGAAAAGGAGATGGAGAAGGCCCGGGGCAGTGCCAGGAAGCGCAGAAAGGGGGCGGCACCTTGTAGGCCCGAGGACGAGGAGGAGGAGGAGGAGCAGGAGGAGGACGAGTAGGACGAGGATGGAGGGGAGGGGGAGGAGGAGGAGGAGGAGGATGGAGAGGAGGAGGAGGAGGAGGAGGAGGAGGAGGAGGAGGAGGAGGAGGAGGAGGAGGAAGTAGGAGAAGGAGGATGAGGAGGGGGAGGCCAAGGAGGAGGGGGCGGTGGAGGAAGTGGAAGAGGGCACAAGGCCAAGGATGTATCCTCGTCCTGGCCTCGTCCGACTGCTCCTAAGCATCGATCCCCTCCTCGAGAGCCGGCCCCTGGACCGGAGCGCGGGCTGGCACGCACGTCGAGGCGGTGACCTAGCCGTGGCGGCGAGACCGCTCCCAGAAGGGGCCAAGAAACGTATGTTACCGCCGGGGAAAGCAGACCTTCGACTCCTTCGACCTTCGACCCTCCATTCCCCCCTCCTCCTCCTCCTCCTCCTCACTCCTCCTCTCCTCCCCTCCTCCTCATCCTCCCTCCTCCTCCTCCTCCTCCTCTCTTCCTCTCCTCCTCCTCCTCCTCCTCCTTCCCCTCCTGTACCCCGTCTGCTCTTCCTCCCCCCCCTATCCGACAAGACCCCGCTCAAAATCTGTTGGCAAGTTCCTCTAAGGCTCCATCCACTTCGAGCTGCGTCTAGCCGCGACCACGAGCGTGGCCCCCGAATGCCAAAATCATTGGACCCCTCCAACCTTCTCTCTGATGCCCAGAAGCTCAAGAGCATCCAAAAAGCCAACAACTTCTCCACCTCCTACTCCTCCATACCTCCTCCTCTCATCCTCTTCTTTCTGTTCCTCCTCCTCCTTCCCTCCTCCTCCTCCTCCTCCGGCACTTTCTCCTCCTCCCCCTACTCCTCTGTCACCTCCTCCTCCTTTTCCTGTGTGTTCACCCTTCCTCTTCCTTTATCGCCTCCCTCTTCCTCTTCCTCCTCTTTCTCCTCCTCTTCCTCCCTTCGTCTATCCCTCCCTCCTCCCCCCCTCCCCATCTCCATCATCCCTCTGCATCTCTGGAGATGCCCCTTCTCTCCCCCCTCATTCCTGCCTCCATCCATCCGCCTCTCCCTCTGGGAGGACAAAAGGCGCCCGTACCGCTACTTCACAAACCTCTCCTGGGCTACGTTTTGACCCAAATTTCGAGGCGAGTCCATCCGTGGCGATGACGGAAGAGGGGCGGTATCCGTAAAGTTCCTCTCCTGACTGGCGATGCTTTAAACGCAACTGTTCAACATTTCGGTTTTCGGTTTATCCGAACGGGAAAACAAGATAACCCCCAACAACAAAACAACTACGCAAATACAAAGAAACCGAACCGAAAACGGCGCGAACGAGATTCACAAAACGGAAACACAAAACAACTGGCGACATTAGCCCCCAACGCTTCTAGCATCATCTGAATCCCCTGACCCTCCTCATCCTCTTCACCCCCCCTCCCCTCCGCCCCCCTTTCAGAACGCACTCCCCCGGGTCAGTGCAAACCCGGGTTAGTCAGGCTTCTGCAGGAATCCTGGAGGATCCTGCAACCCTGGCGCTGCAGGATCCAGCAAGATCCGGCGCTCTGGCCGACCCCCGTTTGACATTGACCCCCGTCCCTTGAAGCCCCTTCTCCTCATTCTCCTCCTCTTCCTGCTCCTCCTCCTCCCCCTCCTCCTCCCCCTCCTCCTCCTCCTCCTCCCGTCCCCGTCGGTGCTGCAGCCTCGTCGGCGTCGGCGGACGCGAGGAGCCGCGGGAGAAGCCTGCGGCGAGGGGATATGGCAATCTCCAAACCGCGACTATGGGAGGTCTTCGACTGGACCAACAACTCTTCACCAGCGATCCCGTGAGAGGGCATGAACGAGCACACAGTCGTGCAACGCCACCTTTGAAGGGGCCCCAGGACACACAAATAAATTCCCCCAAAAAAAGATCCCCCATATTTTCCTATATGTTCTTGGTTTCTGTCTTCCCCCCCACTTCCCATATTTTCCCATATTTTCTGGGGAATCGAGGATTAATTGTGTCTGTGTGTTTCTTTTCCTCCTGAACCTTAGGTGGAAGAACGCGAGGCGGCGATGCGCGCCGCCTCGCGGGCCTGACTACGCGCCTGCAGGGCCAGCAGCCCAGGTGTGCCGAGAACGTCTGTGGGCGGTGGCAGCTGCACCAAGCGGACACCCTCGACCGGACCAACAATTTGCGGGCCAACCCTGGGAGATACGATGACGAGGCGTCTATCCTCGGTCGGGGTGCGCGCGACAAATGGCCAAGACAAAACACATCCCCAACCACAGAATCGCGGATTCACCCAGGACTCGAAGGTCGGCCGAAGATTTCGGGGTTTGTTTTGCGTTCGTCGTCGTCACCCTGGTAGAACCCTAGGCCCCCAAACCCTCCCTCCCCGAAGTCTCGAGGAGCCTGCGTTCTGGTTTGGCCCTCGCGTTTTTAGGACTGGGCGTCTGTTTTGACTTAGTGAACAAACTTGGCCCCCCATCCAAGTGCATACCAGACTTTGAACGCCCGAAATGGGTACGGAAAGAATGGGTACAGTGCCCAACAGCAAGTGTTGTCCCAAACCAACAGCGGCCGCTGTTGGGCAAGCGGCCTTCTGTCTCGAATGGACACAGGCCGCGGCGGCGCGGACAGCGAGTCCTGTTCAAAATGAACAGGAACTGCTGTTGGGCATTGTATTCATTCTTTCCGTACCTATTTCGTTCGCGCGGATCTATACACCGACGCTTTTCCCGACCCTGCGCTGAAATTCGCACAGGAGCGCGGATTCTGGTGTACACGGGATCCTGGTGTGTAGTTTTGTCGTCGCTTCCCGGGGAGAACGGGGAAAGAGTATACACCACGCCACCCCGACGTCGTCCCGGACCCTCGAAAAAGTCCTGGAATTGAAAGACAGCTCGCCACTAGTAACGTACATGCTCCAATTTCCGATCTGAGGTCTGGTGGCTCTGGAAGATCTCTCGGGCGCCGCGGCCTTGTCAAGGCGTTCGGGAACGCTCTGGGAGCGTCCTGGAACGCACTGTAACGGATTTACCCGCGTCCTGGCCCCGTCCGCCAAGCTCCTCCTCCTCTTCGACCTCCTCCTCGTCCTCCTCCTCCTCCTCGTCCTCTACTCCTCGCTCTGGGAGCGTTCTGGAACGCTCTGGAACGGATTCATCCTTGTCCTGGCCCCGTCCGAAAAGGAGATGGAGAAGGCCCGGGGCAGTGCCAGGAAGCGCAGAAAGGGGGCGGCACCTTGCAGGCCCGATGCCCCCAGGAGGAGGAGGAGGGGGAGGAGGACGAGGAGGAGGAGGAGGAGGAGGAGGAGGAAGAGTAGGACGAGGATGGAAGAGGGGGAGGAGGAGGAGGAGGAGGAGGAGGAGGAGGAGGAGGAAAACCAGACCCGTCCCCTGTTCTGGGCGGCCAAGCCCCCTCTGTGGGCGGCGCTCGGGGACAGGCCGCCGGTGACCTGGGGCGGCGCAGGGCCCTCGGTCGCTCGGCAAGCCGCGCCTCCCGGGGCAGCCTCCGCTGCGATCTGGTGTGATCGGGTCACTCAGGTCGTGGTAATGATACAGGGCAGCTCTTAGTACATCAGATGTTTGAAGATATGGGATTCTGTAATGCATGATTCATGTATGAATAAGTGCATGCACGAACTCATCGTTGTTTAAAATGCTAGGTCCCTGCAGTTTTAATACATGATCCGCACGCGGAGCATGTATAAAAAACGGCACTGTCTCTGAATGAGGCTCAATTTGGGGGGGGGGGGGGCGACAGATGAGGGGGGGGAGGAGGTGCAGCCCTCGGGCCCTGAATACCCACTTTTGGGCCACAAGAGGGCCTCTGTCAGGGGCCCCCGAGGGCCCCTTTGGACACAAAGGGGCCCTCGCTGGCACCCCACGTGATCGCCGCCCCCCCCCCCCAATTACTCTGGAATCCCGAAACGGTGCGGTGACAGACCGTGCGGTGACCTCGGAACCCCAAGAGACCTCGCCGCACGGTCCGTCACCGCACGGTTTTGGGACCTCGGAGGCCCCAGTCGCCCAGGCCGTCCTCGGAGAACGACACGAATCCCAAGACCGTGCGGTGACCCCGAATTCCCACCGACTCACCGCACGGTGTGGTCACCACACCGTTTGGGGGCCTCTGGTAATGATAGGATCTGGAATCTAGAAAAACGGCCCCGGATTTAGAACATCTGTCTCTGAATATAGTAAACCGGCTTCTGCGTTTACTCGATGATGTCTTGTCTTGTCGTGATTCAGCGGCGCAATGTGCTACATCCGCTTCTCGCTTTCGTGAACCATAACTTTCCCCGTTTTGTGTTTTAAACATGCGCGTTCATTCATTACCATGACCTATGTTAGCCGGTGGTTATTGAACATACTTGGGAACCCCCAAACCGGGTGGTGAGATACCAGGTGGCGACCTGGAATCCCCAAAAAGGTCACCGCTGGGTTCGGGGACGCGGGGTCACCACCGGGTTTTGTGACTCCTGGACCCACGAAAGTCCAGGACATCCTCGGAAAACCGCACGCGTCCCCAAACCGGGTGGTGACACCAAATCGCCCGAGACTCACCGCCAGGTGTTGTCACCACCACGTTTGGGGACTACCAGCATACGCAAGCACCCTTCGCCCTGGGAGCCGCAGCCCCTGACCCAGCTCGAGATCCGGGGGGGGCGAACCTCTGCCGGCCGTTCCTGGCCGCCTGCGCGGAGCCAGGCCGCGCCGCAGGCGAACAGCCTCGGGCGGATGTTGGGCAACAGCAAAAAACGGCAAAAAACAGCCACGTATAAATACGCACAAATCACCTGAGTCAACATATTTTTATATATGTTATGGGTTTTTGTCATCCCCCCCACTTCCCATATTTCCCCATATTTTCTGGGGAATCGATGACTAATTGTGTCTGTGTGTTTTATCCCTTTCTGACAATAGTCAGGAGATCGTCCCCATACAATATCTTGTCTAACCTCGCATATTCCTCTTGTAGAAGGCCAGGCCCTGCTCAAGGACAGCCACCGCCTGCGACCAGGAGCTGCGCCCGCGCTTGCGCGCGGCAGGCACCGCGGCACCCTCCCCAAACGGCCCGGCCGTGCAGCTGTCCCCCCTTGGCGGGGGCGCGCGCAGCAGCTCGCGCGAAGGGGCCAGCAGCCCCCGCCCCGGGCCCCCCGCCAGGAGGGGCGGCGCCCACGGCGCGAGGGAACTCCCGATTCCAGGACGGCTCGCGGCAGCGCTCCTTGCCTTCGCAACGATGCTGACCAGCCTCGACCCTGTCCTTGTCCCTACGGCGTGCGAGCAGAAGGCGAGGACAATCTTGGGGATGCGCCTTCAGAAATTGGGGGAATCCTTCAGATTCGGCATCGAGGCGAGGCGATGCCAAACACAAGGAGAGGGATACGTTTCAAACTGGTAGGATGCCATCTCTGGAGCAAGCTCGATGGATGAGACTGGTTGCTGAACATCACCCATCGACGAGATCGGCTCGGCGGATTGCCAATGGCCCCAACCATGTCGAGCAGTCAGCGTGTTGCACCGGTGTGCGCCCGCATGACGCCGCTACGTGCACCGTGGATTGGGGCCCAAACGCCGAGGGACAGAAAAACATGGATGCTGAGTGCTGTGTATATATATGTACACACGTATGTATATATATATATATATATATATACATATATAAACGTATGTGTATTTATTTATATATATATATATATATATATATCAAAGTGATGGGGCCGAACGGTCATTCACTGCCCCTGGGTGCGTGGCTGAAATGGAATTCCGCGGTGCGGATTCTCGTTGTTGTTGTTGTTGTTGTTGTTGTTGTTGTTGTTGTTGTTGTTGTTGTTGTTTGTTGTCGTCGTCCCACCCGCAACCCGCCCCGCGACCCACCCGCGACCCACCCGCGACCCACCTCGCGACCCACCCGCGACCCACCCGCGACCCACCCGCGACCCACCCCGCGACCCACCCCGCGACCCACCCCGCGACCCACCCCGCGACCCACCCCGCGCGACCCACCCGCGGCCCACCCCGCGACCCACCCGCGACCCACCCGCGACCCACCCGCGACCCACCCGCGACCCACCCGCGACCTACCCCGCGACCCACCCGCGACCCATCGGCGACCCAAACCACGTTCAAGGTACAAACCACCATTTTCGGCGCCACCGGCGGGTTTTTTTTTTGCATTCCTTCCACGTGGAGAGCCCGCGACCCACCCCGTTACCAACTCGCGACCCAAACCACGTTCAGGGTACAACAATTTTTGTTCGGCGCCTGCGGCGGGCATCTTTTGCATTCGTTTCAGGTGGAGAGCCCGCGGCACACCCGCGACCACGTTCGGGGTACAAGCCACATGTTTCGGCGTTTGCGGCGGGCCTCTTTTGCATTCGTTCCCGGTGGAGAACCCGCGGCCCACCCGCGACCCAAACCACGTTCAGTGTACAAACCAATGTTTGTGGCGCCTGCGGCGGGCTGTTTTTGCATTCCTTCCAAGTGGAGGTGGAGAGCCCGCGACCCACCCGCGACCTAAACCACGTTCACTGAACAAACCAATGCCGCACAAGCGCGGCGGCGGATTTTCGCATGCCGTCTGAGCCCGCAAGGACCTCTTGAAACCCCGCGGATCCACACCAGCCCGTCCAGCAACTCTGCCCTGGCGAGTTGCCTTGATCAGAGAAGGCGGGAAACAGAAAATGGGAAAAAGGATTGCGTTGCAGTGATATTGGGAAAGGAGGGGGGGCAGGAGGAGTACACAGGGGACGAGG